ATGAAATGATATGACTATAATATGTTTATTATATGATATCACTATGATATGGTTATGATATGATATGTACGATGCATTTATGAGATGATATGACTAAGATATGTTATGAAATTATATGACTACGAAATGTCAGTGGTATGTTATGTTAATGTTATGACATGTGTTATGATGTGACGTGTTGATGATATGATATATGTTATGGTGTAATATGTTTGACCATACAAAACATGTTGTGATTTGTTTTATGATATGATACATGCATGCTATGATATGATATGATATGATATGTCAAAGGATATGTTATATGCATGATATGACATAAGACCATGTATGATATGAGATTCAATCCCGGTACATGCCTTAAAGCCTATGCTGAAAAATGATATGATATGAAGGATAACGGAGGGAGTTGTTTTACATGATAATGAATGAAAATGTTGGGACCTGATACATCATTGTGTGTTCATGCATCGAGGAATATCCCCTTATTATGATGGTACAAACGCATACGTTACAAGGCAGGAAAACGATTATCATGTTTATCGAAATGTTGCGACAGTCGCTATTCCTAACATGTGTTCAACAACAACATCTCCAGAGAATGCTAGCTCGATCAAGAAAGGGGCCCAGGAGGTGTGCAAACCGACTGGTGGGTCCATACTCGCACGTGTGGGCCATGTGTAGAACAGAAAATACACATTCAATTACTCGTTTAGGATAGCCGTCTAAGGGAATATAGACTGAAAGTATAGATCCCATTCATGATTGTATGTGTTTGCATCTAACCCCAATAGTTGCTTAAAAAATACTCAAGTCATGTGCTACTTCTATTTTAAGTAAAGGCAAGACACCCCTGTATGACTAACGACGACATCGCAAATCGAGACCATGATACATGCATAGGATAATTGTATTTAATTTCTTAGACTTTAGGTTAGAATAAGATCTCTTTACTTTTAATGTTTATTTGTTTTACTTAGTATTTCGTTACGTTGTTTTAAAGATTTTTTCGAACACATGACAGTGTTTTATGATGAAGTTTCAAATGATTATTTCCGCATAAAATGATGACATCATGTATACAATAGCGACTTTAGCTTGAGTAGAAATCTAGGGTCGTTACATTCCAGGCTAGAACTATGCAAGACAGACTCCTCACTAGGCACAACCAAAACTCCCTCAATAGTACTCTCTAATGTGCCACGATCCTAGATGAAGTTGCATTCCTTTATGCTAAGCAAACCCTCATTAGTTGAGGTGAGTTCACGATCACGGATTTTGTTCGAACCATCTATACATAGACCTATTTGACCCATATCACTATAACAAACTCAAAAGGTGACTCAAGGATCAAGGAAAGGTAAAATATAAGCTAGGAAAGGTAAAATATAAGCTAAATCTCATTAGCAAGTCATACATATTTATATTTATATTAGTGATTAATCGATAGTATTTATAACCCAAAAAAAAGTCAATGGTCACGTTTGACCCATTGCAGAGTTGAGTTTGACCCATTCTTTGATCTACGGCTAGAACGGCATGGACTTTGACAAAATGACTGATATATTGGTTTGGTTTTGGTGGTTGCTGAGTTCGAGAGAAAGTAGGTTAGCCAGGTGAGCTATGAGTATGTTTATGTATGAGAATATTCTATGTTGTACTATATCACTATATAATTGATTATAATGTAGAACTTCGTCATGAACATTCTGAGTTACCTTCTTAATCCTGGTTCACGTACAAATGATTTATTTTTTACGTTTCTTTCGATATTGATACCTATATATTGATTTATAATCTACTATATATAAACGCAAATGTAATATTTAATCATTTAAATAATACTCGAATACTGGGGAGAGATTAATAAAAGTAGGTTAGAATGGTAAGTAGATCCCATCAAACAAAATAATAATTAATTAAGGGTAATTAGATAATGGAGGGTAGGTTTTGCCCACTCCCACTAAATATTCTCATAATTACAAAATAAAACAAAATAAAATTTGAACTCCTGCCTTCTAGAAACTGAGTTTTTTATTTTCAAGTTATAGCATATGAATCGATTGAGTTACAATTCAAACGTTCAAGTTAAAAAGGATTCTCTAAGCCACAATTCTAATATTGTGAGCGTAAGAGAAAAATATTTTCATCCAAGATTCATACTCATACAATTTGGTATCAAGCTACTATGATCAAGATACACACTTATATAAACTATATCATGTATAACGTGAAAAATAAGATTTTGAGATGAATGTACTAAGGGTACTAGAGTTAGGTTCATTCCAACTTACCTTAGTTAGAGTGTTTTGAGTAGACTAAGCACTCTAGAACCGTGAGAGGTGATTAGTAGTTGAAACTATAATGCTCTAGAAACTAAGCACTTTAGAACTAAGTACAACTACTTCCCTTTTTGCGTAGATTCGAGCGATTTTCTCATCTCCTTATTGGCTTGGCTCGACTATTTGGCTATTTTTGACATAGTTGGGAAGGTTTGAGGTCATTATAACTACTATTTAGGAGTTTAAAATATTTGGAACCAAATTGGATTAATTAAGGGAGTTAGGTGATTTAATTTCTTAGAGATATTTTAATTATGATGTCTTGGAATACCATAGTTACACCTAGATCTCGAAAGCGGGACCCAACAAACATCAACACAAGAAATTGGTGATTCCGACTTAGGCCTACAAATGAGCTTACTATTTGAATGTTTGGGGCTAGGTTGGATTAATTGTATATTGTATGAATAATACGTACTATGCAGCTTATCTACATGTTAGTACTTGTATGATGCAATGTTTATGACCTTTTTGTGATGTATATACTTCCAGTATGTCAATCCATGTATGTTATGATACCATGTTCATGTTATGTCCTACGAAACACTTGATGAATTGTGTATAATAAAACTGAATTAATGTCATGCCCACGTACGTTTGTCTCATATTTAGGTTATGTCAGTATGGAAGTATGTACTCTGACTTAAAAATGTGAGACCTTATGCATGTTGTATGTCACGATCATGGAATATTTCTCTAGTGTGCTTTTGTATGAACACGTATTCTATGATATGAACATGCTCATTTCTTTTTGTTGGTTTCCGAGAATATAAGTGTACGTTAGTTCTAGTTAGGGAGTACGTATACGAGCCTGCCTAGTAAGTTCATGTGCACATGCATGAACTATGTGAGAGAAGTTTGAAGTTGGGCATTTAACTTAAAGGTGGCTCGAAGCGTAGTAGGTGATGATTGAATGAGAGTGCTTTCAAGTTGAGTGTAAAGTAATTGGTAAGTAGGTGCAAAAATTAATTTCTTTGTTGTAAGCATTCACGCTTTGATCTTTGATATTCAAATTAATTGATAGTCTACTCTTTGATGTTAGTTTATATTTGAAATTTAAAAAATATGTGTGTTTTTGGTGCATCTATGTTGTGAATTGAGTACCCATCCATGGTTAAATGAATGAAGATGACCAAAAGTCATAGCCTAATAAATTCCCAACCTCCACCCACTTGTGCAACTCTCTCAACTTGCCCCCATTCAAACCCTAACTTCTTCAGCCTACAAATCAACACTAAGAGGAATATAGATTTATATTTATAATTTAGATATTTTATGGTTAATTCTCGACGGACGAAGAAGATATTTTATGTAACAACCCTAGTCCACTGCTAGCCGATATTGTCCGCTACAATCCATTTATTGCCCAGCGTCCTCGTTGACACTCGTTCCTTTCTCTAATCGATGTGGGACCCCTATAAAATCCACCCTCTTCGAGGAACAGCCTTCTCGCTGATAAATCGCCTGGTGTCTCCCTCTGATACCATTTGTAATAGTCCAAGTCCACCACTAGCAGATATTGTCCTTTTTGGATTTTCTCTTTCGAGCTCTCCTCAAGGGTTTAAAACGCGTCTGCTAAGTAGAAGTTTCCACACCCTTATACAGGGTGTTTCATTCTTCTCCCGAACCGATGTGGGGTATCACATTTTATCCAAAAAAAAAGAAAAAAAATAGTAAAATTGAAATGGGGATCGATATTATTTGAAGTAGGTGAGGAGGGAACTTAGATTGAGAGACATATTATACCTAATTAATCGAATATTATGCCATTTAAATAAAACAAACAAAAATATGTATTTTATGATTACATGGGTTTATTGATTTGTTTCCATCAAAATTGGAGATAGCTAGGAAGAGTGTTCGTGGGTTGGTATAAGTTTGGTCGAGTTAGTATATTTTTTTAGACCCGACCTATGTTTGGATTGTAAATTTTTTCAACTTAAATGACTCTTATTAAATCGTACCGGTTAGATTATGTTGAGTTGGATTGATCGAGTTATTTGAGCCATTCCAACATCTCTACCTAAAATGCCTCTTTTTCTCCATAAATATATATATTCTAGTTATTTAAAATAGACGTAAGAAATTTTAATTTATAAAAGAGGTTAATAATTAGTAATTAATTAGGTTAGACCAATAATTATTTTCATAAATTATTTAATATTAAACTTAATTAGACCACGTTTTTTTAGTTTATTTAATATTTAAAGTTAAATAGTCAATACAGATGTTTCCAGCTTTTAATTTTTTTTTAATTGCAATTATAGCGTTTTAAACCCATTAACTATATTAATAAAATAAAAGTGGGTAGTTTTAAGATTTTATTACACACAAATATTTAAAAATACAATATATATATATCTTTATAAGATGTATTAAAATAGAGAAATTTTATGTTTTTTTTTTTCAATTGTATTATTATCTAATATTCTAAAACGCAATCATAAATTACAATAATTTCCACGACGCTTTATTTGACTTTTTATTTATTAATTTTCTTGTCAACTCTTTAAATAATATCTAAAAAGGAAATAAAAATTAGGAGAATTTCATTATATTAATATCTAAAAAAATTAATCAATCCTCTTTTAGTAAACAAGAGGATATGCAAGTGAGGATTTACATATTGATTTTAACTATAATGGAAAATTACCCAAAATTAATTTTTTTTAATTAATTTTTATTAATTTTGGAGTAAATAAAAATCTTGTTAATCTACATATCTATATCTACATTACAATAATTTAATTTTTTATCTAATCAAAGTGGTGGGAGACTTAGATTTCATATTATTCTCTTCTTCCCCCACAAGCTGTTTGTAAAAATGTGTCTATGAAGAACCCAGAGCACTTGGCCGGACCCCAAACAACCACCCCTTGGAATTCTGGCAATTCCGGCGACACTCTCCGCCGTTGTCCGATCCCAATTGGCAACACAAACACAGTGACCCCAACTGATACGGGCTTCTTTCTCGCAATCTCGACTCTGCAGAGCTCCTCGGCGACCCTCTGGCTGTCTCTCCCTGAAATGGGTGTAGCCCAATTGAAAGCTCCAAATTCACCTCTGTCTTCACATGGGTCGCCGCCGGCTCCGTCTCTGTGGTGGTGCCGCTGCCTTCTTCGTCGATGTCCAACGACGGCGCGTTGATGATCGTTGGCTTCATAATCGGAAGCTCTGCCACGGGAACAGAGGAGGAAGAAGAAGAATTGTTGTTGGTGGTGGTGTTGGTGTTGGTGTTGGGATATTCATGATTTAGGTACCCGAAACGGGTGGAGACGGCGGCGGATTCGTTAAGAGGGCGGTGAGTTTGTGGATCAATGCCACGGCTGATTAGCTTTCTCTTGATGTGGGTATTCCAATAGTTTTTGATTTCATTATCCGTTCTTCCCGGCAACCGACCCGCAATCACAGACCATCTAAACCAAAATCAAAAACTCAGATGAGAATGAAATTAAAGAAACCAAAAATGAAATGGAATTTGAAATTGAAATTGAATCGGGGACTGACTTGTTTCCGAGAAGGCTATGGAGTTTAACGATGAGTTCATCTTCCTCGTCGGTGAAATTGCCACGCTTGAGATCAGGGCGAAGGTAGTTGATCCAGCGAAGCCTGCAGCTCTTGCCACATCGAAGCAATCCTAAAACCCAAACCAAAACCCAGATGAGAAAAGAAAAGAAAAGCCATAAATGAGGGAAGGAATGAAAAAGGGGGAGAAATGGGTATAAGAATGAACACCAGCGGCTTTGGGGAGAGTGCGCCAACAGCCCTCGCCATGGAGGCGGATGTAATCGACAAGGCGTTGGTCTTCATCTTTGGTCCAAGCGCCCTTGTTGGTGTGGGCTTTCTCGCAGCAAGGGGATCGCCCCATTGAAGAAGAAGAAGAGAAGAAGAAGAAGAAGAAGAAGAAGAAGGCCTTGGAAGAGGGGGAGAAGGGGAGGGATTTATATGGTGGGGGGTGGGGGGTGGGGGGAGAGAAGAGCTTTTAAGGAGTAATGGAAATGTGTAACCAATAACCACTTCTCTTTCCATCTTACCAATCTTACCAACTTGGTCAAATCCAACCCCACACCCCATAATGCTCTTTTTTCCCCCTTTCTTCTCTCTCCTCTTTCATAAAGTGTTGGACTTTTTTTTTTTTTTTTTTTGGTTGTCCTTTTAAACAACATTTTAATAAAAATATTTTTAAAAAAAAATTGAAACTAATTTGGAATTGGTTGGGTAAGAAAATAAGTTATTTTGGGTTATCATTAAAGCAAACAAAATTATTGGATAAAGAAGTTGAATATAAGAGGAAAAAAATTAATTTTATGTCTAATAATTATTATTTTGGCTTTTGACCTTTTTTTTTTTTTTAGTTTATTTTTTCAAATAAATTTTGAAGTTTAAAGGAAAAAAAAATAAAAATTTCAAAGTCGAAGGACATAATTGAAATATACTCGAATATTTTATTAATTTAATAAGTTTTGGAATATATTTTCTAAGCTTTTGTGGTCACTAAGTAGCATGTTATAAGATTATTCTTCAATTTGGAATATAATTTAAAATAGTTAAAAGTAAGGGACTATAGTGCAATATTAAGAATTAAAACAAATATTTAATTTAAAACAAAACAAAGAAATTATTAACATATATTTAAAATAAAAAATAACATTATCCTAAATTTAAGAAAGCTATCTATTTTTTTAAAATATGACTTAAATTCTAAACATACTATTAAAAATTAATAATAAATAAATAAATAAATAATTTTTTAAAAAAATAAAAGGAAATTAACACAAGCTTAGGTGATTTCCAAGTTAGATGGAAATTATTATATTATAAAAAAATTTGTCAATTTTTGAAGTAAAAATCTTGAAGACCACAGCTTTTAGGTTGGATTTTTCCCAATTGGGCTAAGGTGGGGTTATCGCTTGACAAAGAAAGAGTTCTTATCTTTTAACCATTGTTTCAAGGTTTTTCGTTCATAAACCATCGTAATAGGGATTTAAACTTCTAACCTTAAAAAACTGATATCCTAATAGCTGAGTCATGCTCAAATTGATAATTTTCATGCATTATTACGAGTACAGTTTAAGGTTAAATTATATGTTTAATCGTTAAACTTTTATATTCGTGTTTATTTGGTCTCGAACTTTACAACAATGTCTAATAATCCTCGAACACAAACTTAATCAATTTAAGGTTCAATAAGACATAAAAGTCAATTTTATATCTATAATAAATCAACGGTCGAGATTCATAGATTTGAAATTACAACAATAATTTGGATGTTTTTAACTTATTGTAGGAATTGGAGGTGTGTGGGTATAAAAGTGACTGCCCAACCAACAAATGAATCCAATTTAATTCTTTGAATGAATTGAACAGCTTAGATTCAATTTCATTCACATATTATGTAATCTCATGAACTCACTTTTTTTTTAAAAAAAATTAAGTTCAATGTTAATCAAAAGAGTTTGTCTTTTATGAATTTGCCATATTGCTTCAAAAACATTATAGTTTTTCATAAATGATCGCTTCTTTTCATAAATAGTTTTAATTTAGGTCATCGAGAGCATATTCTTTAGTTATTTGAGAGTACGATAGTTTATGTTTCTTAAAACGTCTTTTGCTTATGAACCGATCTAAGATTTAGAATCTAAACTTGATAACTAATGACATTATATTCTCGTGTATCTCATATAAGATGATCGTGTTTTCCACTTCACTTGTCTTGAAGTGCTTTTAAACCATCCTTAGGATCGCTCTTATTTAGAAGTGATAAGGGTTTATTCATATACCTCTTTTTTAACTACGCATAACAGTTCTTACTAACAATGAGTTTTTGTATGATATGAGATATAGTGCATTTTTCTTCTTGGGACTTGCTATTTATGAATAAAATTTTTGTTAGTTCCATAACAGAGTAAATACTCTTCCATTTCACCTTATTTTCAGAGAGATAGCATTTGTGGCGGTTCGTTCATGTTTCTTACCACCATAGATAGTTCTCATATCGTATGAGAAGAAATAGTGTATGCTACATGCAATATGAGATACGTTTCTACCAGACGATGTACTTTTGAATAATAATCACATTTTCAAAAGACTAGAAGGCAACTTTTGAAATAAGTTTGGATTAAAAGGAAGGAAATTACTAAAATGATGCAAATGGGAATTTGAATTTGAAAAAGGAAGAAAAAGTTTGTTGAGATAAAAAAGTAGTGTGTTTGGTGAGGAATGTGTTGGTGTTTAGTGGTTGTTTTTTTTTTGAAGTGATTAAAAAAGTGATTCAAATGGTTTTGATTGAAAATGGTTTGAAGGTTTAGGGTTTGGATGAGTATGATGTTTAGGTAAATGGTACTCACAATTAAGAATGGAGAGATACTAGAACAATCAACAAAGCCCCAAAAGTGACACAAACTGCCAAAACACTATCAATCACTAGGTTCATTCAAGATTCATATCTACTTACAATTCCACCAAAATAAAAAAACAAAAAACAACATTCAATCAATATTATTTTCATTAATTTAAGGATGTAATAAAAAAATTTCAAAAATTTTGGGGAACCAAGGTAAAGTGATTTATAATTTAACCCAATTTTAGTCTCTAAGGAACGTTAAAATATACTAGATCATTTCCGTATCAAGATTTTATAGGGAGGTATAACACCTCAAGCCTACCGTTGTTCTCTTTAGGCTTTCTCGTATGGACTTCCTTTCAAAAATTTTAAAACTCATCACACAATTCTAGAAAATGTTATGTTCCTCTCTTCAATTGATGTGGGATCTCAAAATTCACCCCCCTTTCGGGCACAACGTTCTTGGTGACACTTGTTCCTCTCTCTAATCGATGTGAGACCCCTTAATCCACCCTCTTTGCAACCTAGCATCCTTGCTGGCTACCGCCTAGTGTCCACCCTCCTTCGGAGCTTAGCTTTCTTGCTAGCACATTGTCCAATGTTAGGGTCTAATACCATTTATAAGAGCACAAGCTCACAACGAGCAGATATTGTCCTCTCTTGGCTTTCCCTTCTGAGTTTTCCCTCAATGTTTTTAAAACACATCACACAATTATAAAGAATGTTTTGTTCTTTTCTCCAATCGATGTGGGATCTCACAATCCACCCCCCTTCGGGGCCAGCGTCCTTGCTGATAGTCGTTCCCCTCTTCAATCGATGTGGGACTGCCTAATCCACCCCGTTTCGAGGCCTAGCATCCTCGCTGGCACACGACCTAGTGTCTACCCCCCTTTCGGGGTTCAGCCTCCTTGCTGACACATTGCCCGGTGTCTGGCTCTAATACCATTTATAACAGCACAAGCCTACCACTAGCAGGTATTGTTCTCTTTGGCTTTTCGCTTCTGGGTTTCCCCTCAAAGTTTTTAAAACACGTGACACAATTATAAAGAATGTTTCACTCCCCCTCTCCAATCGATATGGGATCTCACAATCCACCCCCTTTGGAGCCCAGCGTCCTTGCTAGCACTCGTTCCCCTCTCCAATTGATGTGGGATCCTTCAATCCACTCCCCTCTGAGGCCTAGCGTCCTCACTGACACACCGCCTAGTGTCCACTCCCTTCTGGGTTTAGCCTCCTCGCTGGTACATCACTTGGTGTCTGGCTCTGATATCATTTATAACAGCACAAGTCCATCGCCAATAGATATTGTCATCTTTGGGCTTTCCTTCGCAGGCTTCCCCTCAAGGTTTTTAAAACACGTTATACAATTATAAAAAAAATATTTTGTTCTCTTCTCCAACTGATGTGGGATCTCACAATCCACCCCCCTTCGGTGCGCAGCATCCTCGCTGGCACTTGTTCCCCTCTCCAATCAATATAGGACCTCCAATCCACCCCCTTTGAGGCCTAGTGTCCTCATTGGCACACCGCCTAGTGTCCACCCCCATTTCGGGTTCAGCCTCTTCGCTGACACATCGCCCGGTGTCTTACTTGATACCATTCATAACAGCCTAAGCCTTACATATATGTCTACTTACTAAATATATTGATTTATTATAATTCTTTTAAAAAATAAACATTATATTGAAAAATGAAAATTTTAAACTTACTCATGGGAAACTCGGTTCCTGAAAATTCGTCCTTTAGAATTCTCACCTCGATCCTAAGAAAATAAATGAAAAATGAAATAGGTGGTCTTGCTTTCACCATCGCTCTATTTCGCCCCATAGACATCTCTAGGGATAGAATTGCTTTCAACAAATTAGCTGGGAAGGGACACAAAAGGATAATGAAAAAAAAAATGATGAAAGAAAACAAAAGAGGTGAAATAAGAGGGGTATCTTTGCAAAATAGGTAGGTGCAACTGGCAAGGTCGGTCATTTTTGTCCTCATTGCAAAATCCCTATTTTGCAAAATCCCTAACTTTTAGGTTTTGGATAGCTATGTTTGGTTGCCTTTCCATCTCATCTCTTCATTTTGTGGCTCACAAACTTTCAAATACATACAAACAAACAAATTACCCTTCACCTTTCTTTCCAATTTTTGTCCAACTTACTTCGTAAAACAAACTCACACCAAATACATTTTCAACCCAACTAGGGTTTTCCAATGTGCACATTTTAGATCTCCACGTTCTACGTTTTGGCCGATACAGGAAGCCCACCTAAAGTTTATACAGTGTCAAGGTTCCAAATTACTATCATACTGAAACATTTAAGTTCATAGATTATAATGCATCTAATCTTTCTTAATATTTTAGTCGAAAAATTATAATATTAAGCTATTGATGTGAAATGAACAAAAACGACATTATTTGAGTTGAGCTCACAATTTTTTACATAGCTCAGATCTAGCACAAGATCCAACATTATAGGAAGTTTGAACTCAGACTTTCTACTCTAATCATACGATCCAAGTGTTCTCCAATTCATAGGATACAAAAATAAATTAAATGAAGTCAAGATTCTAATTTACGAATAAAACCCAAAATTTAATC